GAGGGGGTGACCTGTGGCGGCCTGTGACGTGGGGACTTTCCCCGTCCTTCGGGGTACTGTGGGTCCGTGACTGCTGCCCTCTCGGCTGGGCGCCTGCTGTTCACGGGGCTGCACTGGGAGGTTAAATGAGCCTTCTGAGTGGTTGAGCCCATCTAATCTTTCTCCCGGGTTTGCAGACTGCGCTTCATGAGTTCGGCAGAGTTAGGCTGGAATTAGGGAGATTTCTTTACTGTAGGGTAGTTTTCAAACGCTGCTGCTTCAGGTACTTACACCGACTGGAATCTAGCTGTGGGGTGGCCTGCTGCGTTGAGAGGATGTGTATTAACATCCTTCCGATCGAAGCCGTCAACGTGCCCTCATCTGTCAGTGACGGCCTACAGCAAGCCCGTCCGCAGGTCCCCCTCCCTCCCTCAGCACGGCCTGCCTGCTGCTGAAATGCCTGGGATGGTGTTCTTCTGCCCCGACCTCAGCAGGCTTTTCTGTAAAACAAGCCTCTGTCCTTGTCTGTGCATTTTCCTTGAGTGTCTACGTGTCTGCTCCTCTTTTCTGAGAAGGAAGCCCTGTGGCCAGCACCCTGCCGGACGCTGCTCTGGTGTGGCTCCCGGCCCTTGTAGGCCTAGGTGTGAGTCCTCACTGCTTGGCGCACTTTCCGTGTGTCCTGAAGGAAATTCCTTAACTTCACGGGAGTCTAATTCTGTCATCTGTAAATGTTTTTTATTTTAACATAAAATATCCCCACCCCGTAGGATTGTCATGACGCACTGAAAGGTGACATTATTTGTCAGGTGCCCACCAAGCATGGCACCTGAGGGGTGATATCGTTAATTCTGGCCGCAACTTATCTGCCACCAGAGGTTTTAAGAGGCTCCCAGACCACAGTCCGAGCTCAGTTCTGCAGATCACTACCCCAGTGACGGCCGGCCTTCTGGCCTGACCTCTAACACATGGGTCTGGGGGCTGATCTCCCGAGCCTGGGACATTTAGCACTTTTACTGTGTCATTGGCCCGGGAGCCCTGTCGGGTGCCGACAATCAGCCTCAGGTGTAAAACTCAACCTCCAGCACCAGCTCACTCTCTCTCTCCTCTCCATAGATCTATGAGGCCCAGCCGGACATTTCCCGGGCATTCCAGACCAGAGAGTTCATCCCCCTGCCCCGGCTCCTGGCGATAGTGATGGTGACCACTGTGCCCCTGGTGTGCAATAAGAGCATGTTCACCCAGGCGTTGAATGTGAGTGCTCGCCTCCCTGGTCATGCAGGATGTATTGGAGTGCAATTTGTCAGGGAGCCTCGGAGGCTTTCTGTGTCCACTCGCCTGTGAAGGGACATCCTTGCCGGGGGGGCGATGAGTGCCCTGCCCCAGCACGAGCAGGGCCCTGGTCCCCCCACGCTGTTGGGGCCTGAGGTGGCGCATGGCACTCCCTGCAGTGACTGAGGACTTGGATGCCTTCTGTGGTTACTCTGAGCACAGCAAAGACCCTGCCTGCGATCGGGGCTGTTCACTAACCCGGCACAGAGCCGGTTCCTCCTGCTGGAGCACCTGCTTCCCTTTCCTGCCATCGCTCCCGCGGAGTCCTGCCGGGGTGGCTTCCTCGGGACAGCTGGGGGCTGCTGACACCTTAGCTTTTGTTGACCTAGATGATCCCAACAAGCTGAGTTGTTACCAGAGGAGACTTAGAAAAGCAGACAGTGAAACAAATAAAAAGTAACTCAGGCTCTTTTTTAATAACTGTCTCCCGGCAACTGCTGAGGTCGGATTTGCAGGAGGTCAGAGCGGGCGGATCCCCGGGCACCTCCTCTCACAGCCACCGTCTCGTGGCTTTCCCTGGGGTGGCCCCAGAAGGGGCTGGCGCCGGCCAAGCCCGGCCTTGGAGGTCGGAGCGCCCGCAGTGCAGTCTAAAGACAGTGGTGGGTTTAACTTTTCTTCCCAGTTGGACAGCAAGTCAGTGAAGCACACGGCCCTGTCCCTTCTCTCCGTCATCCTGAAGAGAGTGTTAAAAACCATCGACTACTGCCTGAGCGGGGAGGTGTGGCAGGAGCCCGGCGTGTACACCGCCCCGATGATGGAGGACTTCGTGCGGCTCTTCAGAGAGGCCCTGAGCAAGGTAGGCGCCGAGGCCAGGCGTGGCCTCCCCGGAGAAGCTTCCAGGGCTCTCCATACGGTGTCCCAGTCAGCGCACTGGCTGGAAGAGGCCGTCTCCGGACGCATGGGGCCTGCGAAGCGAAGGGCCAGTGGCCCGGGGCCTGAGTCCCGTCAGGAACTGCTGTGCCCGCCCCGCCCCACGCTGCACTCACACTGGACGGGCCACACTTGGGGGGGCCGCTGGGAAGCCCCTCATTCCCCTGAGGGTGGTTCTCGTGAGTCAGGAAGGCCCGTTGTCTGCAGACTGGCCGGCTGCCCTGAAGGAGCCAAGGTCAACCTGGACGGGTCCCCTAGACGGTCGTAAGGATGTGTCTTGCTCAGAATGAATCTTAAGGGGCTTGTTTTAATCACCGGCTCTGGTTTTCCACCAAATCCGTTTGCACGGTTCTGGGAACTGTTCCTCAGGACGGAGCCGGCCAAGGCTGGGGCCTGGTCCGGCCCTCCCGTCTCCACGCATGGTGCACTTGCCCGCTTCCCTGTTTTGTGCTTCTTGTCGGATTCAGTTCACTAGTTTCTCTTTCCTACACGATTCCTCCTTTCTTTTGTTTTCCCTTCAGATCGTACCAGATTTAAACACCGTCGTGTGGGTCTGGCAGTCACTTAAAAAGCAAGACACCAAACAGGATGCCGAGGAGGGAAAGAAGAGGGGCAATGGGACTCCTGCGGCCTGCGAGGCTCCCCTTTGCGGTGAGGGCTCGAGGGGCGTCTGCTGCCTGCAGACAGAGCCACGTGGACAGGCCGTGAGGGATCCGTGTCCTTGCTCAGAGGGAGGAGTTGGGGGGTTGTGCGTCGGATTCTGCCGTGCGTCACAGGTGTGCCAGGCTCTGCCTGAAGACTTGAGCAGTGGGCGCCCGGTCAGTGGGGTGGGACGGGGGCCTCCCCTGTGCTATACAGGTGGAGGTGGCTGCACAGACCCTGGTGACTCAGTCCTCGTTAGCCAGGCGGTGGTTAATCTCAGGTCTGTGTCCTGTTCACCCTCACGGCGTCCCCAGGAGGTCGGCCTGCTGTGTGCCCACCGTTTGAGGACACTGAGGCACAGGACGGCAGCACTGACCTCTCCTAGGTCACAGCACTGGAATGGGGATGTGAGCCCTGCTGTGTGAACAGCCGTGACATTTACCACATGGGTCCTTCTGTCTGTCTGTGGGTGTCTGCTGAAGCCTTGGGCTCCGCGTGCAGTTGGCTGTGATGTGTCACCGAGGCCCGACCGCCCAGCGGTTGCTGATGGAAGACAAAGAGCAGTGTTTCCTAATAGAAGCTGTTTCGTTTGGTTCAGACGATGCAGAAACCATCCTTCTGAAGGCCGTCCTGCTCCAGGTCATCTGCCTGTACCAGAGGGTGGTCCCCCACGTGGTCACACAGTGCAGCTTCGACTTCAGCAAGCTCCTGAAAGGTGCGTCTCAGGACGTAGCCCCCCCAGCTGTGTGCCAGCGGGTGAAGGACGTGGGTAGACTGAGCAGGGCCCTGCCCGGAGCCAGGGAAGGCAGGGGGCAGCTGGGCCGACGTGTGCTCCTCCAGCCCACTGGTTCTTATTCGGACCAATATCGTTCCAGTAGCCATCCCCCTTAAGTAAGCGTTAGGTGGACACAGCCGCAGCGAGAGGAGACGGGGAAGCCAGCCTGCGCTGCCTGCCGTAGACGGTCAGCGAGTGATCACGTGACGTTCACTCCAAAGCGTCTTTCTGAGGGTGCGGAGGACGTCCGTCCACGCCCCGCCCACGCAGAGGCACCCATACACCGCGGCTCGTTTACCTGGCCAGGCCGTNCCCCGCCCACGCAGAGGCACCCATACACCGTGGCTCGTTTACCTGGCCAGGCCGCGCCAAACCACTTCTTGTAAATAATTCGCCTGTCTGGTCACGTTTCCTTGATGGAAAGTTTGCCTAATGAAATTGACTCTCCCTGGGCCTGTGGAGCGAGCCTGGCAGAAATACGGTTCCTGGATTTGTATAAGCTGTGAGGGTGTCCTGGTCCACGCTGCAGTTAACTTTCCAGTTGTTGGAGGTGAGAGGTTCTCTTTGCTGTGAGAATAGAAAATTTTGTAGAATGTGGCCATTTGTATTTAGTGGCTGTGTTCTTCCCAAGCAAAGAGAAACCTGGGAATCAGGCCAGAGGGTAAGGACCTAGACTCCGTGGCCACCACCTGCGCACAAAACGCTTGTGGTCTATCTGGGGAGCAAGGCCTTTGCCCACGCCAGGGCTGACGTTGGTGGGAGGCCGCTGCTGGAGAGGAGCAGGGTGATGTGGCATCGAGCTGAAGGGGGAGGTCAGCAGGCCTAGTGGCAGCTCAGAGTTCTGCAGGGTAGGCCTCGGGAGGGGCACACGAGTCAGGTGAGGGGTGACTGCGCCGAGCAGTGGGCACGGCCTGTGTGAGGATGACTCAGGACCGACCGTGGGACCCTGCGTTTGCCCTAGTCTCTGGACACAGAGCCCCCTGTCTGGTCCTTTGGCCAGGACAGCAGTGCTGGGCGCCCGCCTCCTCGTGACGTGACTGTTTCCGTCTCTGCCGCAGGTGTCATCTCGGAGCAGGGCCTTCGGGAGGAGGTGCCTCCCATCCTGCAGCACCACATCCTGCAGGTGGCCCTGGAGCTGCCCGCCTGCAAGTTCTCCTGGCTGAAGGGGCAGGTGGGACACAGAGGGCTCTGCTCTTGTTCTTAGGGCACCTGCGGGCTTGCTGGGCTTTCTAACTGGGTCGCGACCCTGACGGGGGGCCCGAGCATGCCGTGAGGATCCTCATTTTAGGGAGACGCGCCCAGAGCAAGGCGGATCCTGGTTTGTGAACCGGGAGGCCCGCCACTCGGCTTTCGCAAAGTGAGGTGCTTAAGTGAAAATGTGTTTTTATCGGATGCTGGGAGTTCTCATCTTGACTTTTTTTTTTTTTGTCATTTTAAAACCTTTTGAAAACAAAATAAAATATATGCCTTCTCCTTTGCACCCTGAAAGAACTTAAAACAGAGAGAGGAATAGGTACCAAGCCAGCAGGAGGCTGAGCTGGTGGAAAGTCAGCAGATCGCTGGCATTTTTTCTGTGACTTTAGTAATGTCTTGTGGGACTTCGTGGAGAATGTGATGTTGACTCATGAGGAAAACTCCAGCTCCCCACCTTTGTTCCCCACCATGAGGTCACTGCCAGGACCCCTGGGGAAGATAGGCGGGGGGGGCGGTTTACGTTGACGCTGCTCTGCCCACACCCAGGAGGGCCCCGAGGTGGAGATCATCGGAGGGGAGCGGTCCGTGTTTTACCTGCTGATGAAGATGTTTGTGACCAGCACCCACTCCCAGCTTAAGTCGTCCACCAAGCTGCTCATCATGAAGGTGAGCGACTCCCAGCTCTCACGCTGTGCAGGGGCCTCACAGCAGGTGCCTCGTCAGCAGCTGCGGAATTAAGGGTGTCTCCGGTGTCAGTGGGTGGTTCTTAACCGTGAACGCGTCCCCTAGGCCAGCCTGCGGTGGGGAAAGCAGCTGAGCTTGAATCGGCTCCTGGGTTTGGGTCCTGCTCTCACCTCCTGGGCGCCCTGCGCAGGTTACCTAACCTCTCTGAGCTGGTTTCCCAGTGAGTGGGGGGAACAGGTGTAGGCTAAAGGGGGAGAGGACGTGTGAGAAGGTGCAGGCTGTGCCTCTGGGCGCAGTAGACGCAGGTTTCTGGCTTTTGGGGCTGTGATGGGCAGTGCCTCCTCCCTCACCTTCAGGGTGCAGGGATTTTATCTTTCTTTGAAGAGCTGGTGATCCTGCTGCCTTTTAACCTCACCTAGGCTGCTTAAGGGACGTGAACGGTTCCTTACAGGTCGTGCAGGTGTGAGCTTGGCCCCAGCCAGGTGTCAGCATCACTGCACATGTGTGGAACTGGGACAGTCAGGCTCCCCAGGGGTGCACTCACTGCCGGGCCCATGCTGTGGGGCTGCTTAGACCCTGGTCTCTGTCGTCAGGCCCTTTGGGGATGTCGTTGACTCACCCCAGGTTCAGGTCCTGCCTCATGGCAGATCCGGTTCTCTTAGACATGGTGGGTGCTCCTCGCCCCAGGTCTGAGTCTCGAGGGGCCGCCCCGAGAGCATGTGACATGTCCCATCCGAGAGAATGTCAGGCTGGGAGCTGAGCAACTGTGAGGGGCCAAGTCGAGCACATGTACCTGGGACCCTGTGAGGATCCAGGTGGAGAGTCAGATGCCTGAGTCGCAGGTGGACGTTTCCCCGTTTACTGTGAGGAGTTAAAAGGAAGGAGTAACAGCAGCAAGACGGGGTCATGTTCTCTCTCCCAGAGGTCAGGATGCTCTTCTGTCCCCTCGGCAGTGGGGATGTTTGAGAGAAAGTGTTTAGAGTGAAGCTGTAAGTGAAACTTGGACCCTGGGTGTCCCTGGGTGTCCGCATCCCGTCAGGGCCCTGTCTCTCCGGGCAGCCCCACAATTCGAGGTCCCGCTGACTGGCCCACCGTCTGCTTGGACAGATCCTGCGGGACACGGGCGTGTTCGAGTACACGTGGAAGGAGCTGGAGCTGTGGCTGGAGCACCTGCATGACCCTGGGGAAGACCGACAGGAGGCCGTCCTCCAGTTTCTGGAACGAGTGAGCACCGTCCCCGTGTAAAGAGCATGTTGCAGAGAATCCCGCTGAGGGATCCTGAGCCAAGCCAGGCGTTTCCGATGCCCCAGCGCCCACAGGCCTCTTCCTGGCCTACGTCCTGATTCCTGCCCACACTGGGAGTCTGTGGGGCAGGAATAGGCTACCGTGTGCTCTTCAGTTTCCTTTTAGGAATTATTTTTGCACAGAATACTGGTATACTAAGTGATGTTATCGCAAGTGACTATATATGCTAAAAGGAGTTCTTTTTAAATTCTACAACAAAAAATTTTTAAAACTTTTGCAGAAAAATTGTTCTTATGAAGCCCTCTTAGCATTTTAGCCCTTCCCCTTATTTTACCAGTGATGTTTTGGGGCATTTTTTTTTCCATTTCATTTGTGACCATGTAACTGTTTTCCGCTTGGCTCCTTAATGCCCAGGTCTTACTGACGTTGGTGGCCAGTCCCTATTCGTACACAGACAAAGCATCTGACTTTGTCCAGGAGGCCAGCGCACTGCAGGCCACCGCCACCAAGCGGGACGCGGACGACATCAGCATCCCGATCTCCCACATCGACGGTCAGTGCCCTCCCTGCCGTGGTCCCTGGGTTTGAGATCAGCTGTGGCGGCCTGTTAGAGACAGAGCAGGAGCTGCATTCAAGGCTGCACCGAGTGCAAACGTCCCATGACTGGGCGTCGGGCCAGCCTACCATGAGACGAAAATCCCGTTTGTTTACGTAACGGGGATGTGTGTGGAGCTTGTTGGCTGCGCTGTTTGTGCCTGTGCAGTGTTTGCTTTACGCCAGGTGCTAACCTGAGCTCTTCACAAACCTTAAGTAGATAACCTCATAAACGACCCTAGAGGAGTGTCATTAGCCTCACTTTGTGAATTAGTGAGGCCACAGGGGCACAGAGGATAAGGGACCTGGGCAGCCTCGCTCAGCCGATCCTCAGCAGAGTCAGGACTCGAACCCAGGGGCTCTGGCCCCGCTCCTTGCTCCGGCGCTCCCACTCTTCGGCTGCCCAGGTCTTGGCTTGTTTGTCTGAGTGTCCAGGGGAAGGTTTCCGGGCTGCTCGTTGCCCCCGAGGAAACTCCAGCCTGTTACCACCTGAGCTGGGAATGTCCTTGTCTGTTCAGATTTGAGCGTTTTCCCCTGAGAAGCTGAGTGTTGATTCTGTCTCCGCCCGTGTCTCCATCTTTTCGCCCTTCCTCCCTCTGGTGGCTCTTGCCTGGGCTCAACCCCTCTGCTTCAGACGTGCTAGACATGGTGGACGTGCTGGTGGAGGGCAGCGAAGGCCTCGATGAGGAAATCGGGTGCCCACTGAGCGAGGACATGGTCCTGCCCACGTTCCCGTTCAGCCCCATCGTCCCTGCGGCCCTGGAAGCCAGGAACAAGCTGCTCCTGGGGACAGAAAGCGAAGCAGGTGCATTGTGTGGGCAGGTGTGGTGGAGGCATCAGGCCAGCTGGGTCTGTGCAGGGTGGGAGGTGGGATCCCAGGGGCTCTGGAAATCATTGGTGAAAGCCCCCCAAAGTGAGCACTCCCCAGGGGAGAGCCCAGCGTGCGGGGGAGGAATCTAGGGGCTGGCAGGGCTGCTGGGGGAGGGGTTGTTGGGAGGGTGAATCTGAAGTCACACGTTTGCCTGGCTGCATCTCAGACCCCTGCCGTGACACCGATCTCGTCAGTATTTGTTTCTTGGTCCCTTGATGCTAAGTTGTGAGTTCTTTGTATTTGCTGGGTGCTCACAGGTCACCATGTGTCATCAGTCAGGATTGCTTAGGCTTTGCTTCAGGAATGAGTAAGTCCCAGCAGGTCAGCGGTTTAAGGAGCAAAGGTCTCTTTCTTGACCTTGTGATGGTCCAGGTCGGGCAGGTGGCTCTGGACAGCTGTCCCCCAGGGGATGGTGCCTGGATCCAGGCTGCTTTCATCTCCACGTATGACCTCCCAGGTCACGCTGGCAGAAGAGAGGGTGTGGTCAACAGGGCCTCTGCCGGGCGTGGGGGGTATTCCTGTCACGTGGTCCCGGCTAAGTGCCAGGGAGGCTCGCGTGCCGAGGAGGAAGGGGATGGGCGGCCTTGCCTCACCTCTTGCCTGGGTCTGTATGTCTGGCCTCGGAGCCTGGCGTCCGGCTGTAATGAAACAGCCCTTGCACCCGTGGTGGCATCTGCCTTCCAGTGCAGTTGGGTGACCCCTGGTGGAGCTGGTGTGAATCTCCCTGGTTTGAACATGGGAGTTGGGCTGATGGGTCACGGGCCGTCCAGTGAGCCCTGCGCACGCATCTCGGTTGCTCGCAGGGGACAGCATCTTGGCGTACCTGGTGGCCGTGCTCACAGACCTGTTGCACAGCCAGAGGGACCCACTGGCCCTGTGCCTCCTGCTTCAGTCCTATGACAAGGTGGTCCTGCCTTGCTGCCAGCAGCTGTCCTGCTTCAGCAGCTACTACAGCCTCTGGATCCCAGAGCCCGCCCGGGGGCCCGTGGTGAGTGCCCAGCTGCCGCCTCGCCTCACTGCCCTCAGCCGGCGCCCTGCGGATGTGCCTCCTGTCGAGAGCAGGCACAGTGACTGCTGGGGAGCCGTCGCCCCGTCCTGGGCACCTTCCGACGCGGGCCTCCGCACCAGCGCGCCCCAGGGAAGTCCCGTGACCAAGCACGGACTCGCCGTGCTTACGTGCCGCGCGGTCGTGTGCTCTAGCAGGAGGGCGTGACTGCCGAGGCGTCCCTTGTCACCCATGTCGCCCGCACCTGTTCGCCGGGCTGTGCACCCCCTGGCCCTGTGCTCACTTGTCTCTCCTCTCCCCCAAGCCACCTCGGACCCCGGGCAGCCCTGCGCCCCAGGCCCCCTCCGCCTGCTCCTTTGGGGCCCTGCTGCAGGCGGCCTTCCGGCGCGAGGGTGCGCTGCTGGACGCGGGGGTGCAGGCAGAGCTGCGGGCCGCCGTCCCCCGCCTCC